CTTCCTTCCTTCCTTCCTTCCTTCCTTCCTTCCTTCCTTCCTTCTTTCCTTTTAGTGGCAGCAGGGGAATTCTCACAAGGGAAAACCATCCTGAAATGTGGCTGGTTGAGATTCTAAAGAAAAAAGCACTATACACCAAGGTGATCTGTCCAAAGCATTTATTAGAACTTAAGTACACAGGAGGCTGCAGTGTACCTCGGTGGTGCACAGCGAGACAAAGGATGCTCTACCTAGGTGTGTCTGCAACAAGGGAGTCAAGTTGTGAAGTTTATATGAAGGTTTAAGGAATTTGGCTTAGGGCTGAAGCTAGTTTCTTTCAGTGTTTTGGGCAAAAACCTAAATACCTTGATCAGTGCTTGGGAGTATTCGAGTCTCCTGCTTGGTTTGAGTCTGCAGGAGAAAACATGCATCTGGCCAGTCTTTCTTGGTTAGGACAGAGAAAAAAATGGGGGGAAACTGAGGGATCCTACATAAGGGTGTGTGTATGTGCGTGTGTTTCAATTGTCCATCCTGGAATTCAGTAGTCCCTTTTCAATCTGAAAAACATTTTTTCTATTATTTATTTAAATATTGTACCTCTTCCGTCTGGTCCAATTTCTCTTTATCTAGTAACCGTTTTTTCCTTTCATCTATCTACTATTGTCTTTAGACGACTAATGATATTTTTTAAGCTCCAAAGAATGTTTTGTGCAGCACTTGAATCTCTTTAAGATTTCTTCATATTTTTATGCAAAAAAATGGACATTTCTCCTTGTCTATTTCTGATTTTCTGACTCACCTTCTCTCTGGATACTGATTCATTGACATGGTGTTTTTCTTTTCCACCTCACTGAGGCTGCTGTCTGTTTACTGGAGTGCTCCCTGTGGCTGTTCTGCAGGTGGCAAAAGGTGAAGTGGATCACCTCTGTGGCCCCAAGATGTAGAAACTAGCTGGCAGCCATTCCCTTGTGCATGTAGCTGGAGGAAGCCTTTCCTTCCCTTCACCCTTAGGCCTTTCGTGGCCTCAGGGAGGACTCATTCCACTCCATCATCTTCTTCTTAACCTCATGAATGCTGAGGCCAGGCATTCCTCATAAAGGGCTGATGTTGACTTTCACCAGAGTTCCACCCAAAGTTCTTTCCAGGATCTGCCACTCTCGGTTGTCACCCTTGAGATCCCTAAAGCTGTCTCCTGGCACTTGTCAGGCCCATGGGGAAGAACGATGTGGATAGAACTCAAAGCCCTAATTGACTCCTGTTGCCCTGAAGCTCCAGCAATTGTCTGGCTCAGAGGACAAAGATAGAGTTGGGATTGGAAAAGGGATTATATACATAATGTTATGTTTCCAGAATTTTCCTTTCTGCTTCTTTCTTGTAATCAAGGATTTTTAAATAATAGACTGTAATAGTCATGAGATTGTGTTTAAGTAAACCTAATAGAAGTTATTGTCAAAAGATTTTTATCCTTCCTCATTTATACTCCAGCTCAGACCTCTCTTCTAAGTTCCAGATTGCTTGTTACGTAATTCCACCGGCATCTCCAACTTAAAATGGCCAAAACAGAACTCTCAGTTTCCCCCCCAAACCTGCTCCTCCTCAGAAGTGCTTCCCATCTCCACAGCAGTAAATGGGCCACTTGTTAACCCAATCGTTCAGGTAAGAAACCTGGAAGTTATTGATTTCATCATCTCTTTCATTCAATCCATCGGCAAGCACTGTAAGTTTCATGCTCAGAGTCCATCCTGAATCTATCCACTTTGCTTTTAATCCACTCCTACCATTCTAATCCAAACCAATTTACTCTCCTAGGCTACACCTTTCCCTTTTGATACCAACCCGAATCCCCAGGCTTTCCATATTCCACACAGCAGCCAGAGTGATCCTTTAAAAATGTGCATCTAATCGTGATCCTCCCCTGCTTAAAATGCTTGATGGCTCCTGTTCTATATGAAAAGGTGCTCGACATCACTAAACATCAGAAAAATGCAAATCAAAATCACAATGAAACATCACCTCACACCTGTTGGGATGACATTTATCAAAAAGACAAGAGATAACAAGTGTTGGTGAAAGTGTGGAGAAAAGGGGGCCCTTGTACAAGATTGGTGTAGCCACTGGGGGAAACAGTACAGAGGTTTTGTTTTTTTTTTTTTCCTTTTTGTCTTTTTTTCGTGTCCGGCAACGGATCGCAACCCTCAG